ATAAGGATCGATGATATAAGTTTCAATTCGTACTTGGTGTTCTGTAGCCGGGGTTTAGCAGGCGTGGAAGGACCTCGGCAAATTCCTAGCAAGCATCGAGCTGTCTTGACAGAAAGTGTTGACGGCAAACATCAGCACGACTGCTGCCGTGTGTCCATCCAGGATGGTGAATATTTGACCCGAAGTGGATGACACATGAAAGGAATCCGCCCTCACATGTCGCAGTGGAATGTGCTCTGGTGTGCAAAGCCGCTTGACCACAGGCAAGTTTCCTGAAATTCCACCAAAACGGGTATTTCTGGGGGCGATTTTGCCAACCCACGGAATCCTATATGCCTGCACAAAACGAAGAGTCCGGGTGCTACAAATACTGGGGTCGTGCACCCTAGGGCATCGTGGGTTCTGCGATGATGCGCATGAGTCTGCTCCCACCCCAAATCACACATTATCTCCCATGAGAAATTGAAGTGGCCCTTTAAAGCCGTCAAGTAAAATCCAGATTTGTAACAGTGGCAAACGGGGAAGGGTTCTGCTGATTGGGTAGCGGGGCTGGCGAACGTAAGGGTTAAAGCGACGGATTTTTATTGGTTCGTAGCCTGCTATATTTCGTCACACTTGTGAACTGCTTTTGGGACAAATGCGGCGAGTGTAAACATTCACATCTCGCGCGGGGGTGGGGACGAAATTTGGGGGGAAACGAATGAGAAGGGGCGGGTGGGGAAGCAAATGTGTAACATTCGAGATTGCGGGGCGGGTGGAAACAAAATGGTGGGGCGGGGGAACGCGTGACAGGCGCGGGGAGGAATGAAACTGAGGCAACGGGGGAGTGTAACGGATTTGCGCCTTGTGATAATGAGGGATTTGCAGTACACAAATCCGTCATTCCACTCGATCGACGGGCGAGAACAAATTTTCAACAGGCCCACGTTACGCTGGAAACAATGTCCCAATGTTCAAAGTTTGAAAATAATTAAGGGAACGAGAACCACGGCTTTAAGTTACGCTTGTTTATCAGCCACATCTGTGGGTTGTTCTTCAAGGGGCAGCCTAATGAATTTGTGCTACGGCTAAAACAACCTTCTTCCGTGCCAGCCCCTCCCATGCCTCAACAGTTTGGGGCTGCATTAAATAGACTCCGCGTACCATTGGCTAAAATCTTCGTTCTGTGCATGTGGACTTCGAACAATATCGTCCACTTAACGTCCAGCCCACACCTTTGTTTTGCGGATGGCAGGAGCCGTCCAAGATACGGAGCCACCACCCACCGACAGGCTCCTGTAAACCGTGCAAAGAATGTGATGTGACTGGTCATGTTTCTCGCCAGATTCAGGTCTGGAAGTTAGGGAGCCCCAACTTGATTAAGCGTTGCATATTACTGTACACAGGCCACTGTGTCTCGGTTATCTTCTGTTCGCACCCAATCCCCCCACCATAGTTAGGGCGACGGTGCTAGAAGTTGCGGAACTTGATGAGCGTTGTACTTTTCACCCTAGAGTTAGAGACAATCACTTGGGAGAACGGAACGTTTCCTTGTAATACCT